CTGTCATCATCAGGCGACCGCAGAAGATCATTGTGATCGCCTTTCACGGATTCGACTTCCACACAAAGGACAACGGGCTTGTTTTCACAACATCGAGAAGTACGGATAAAAGCTCTTCACCGCCTCTTCCTAGATGGTGCCCGTTGTGCTGCAAGAACGAAAGTCCTCCATCGAGTATGATGGCCCCACCCTCGGACAGAAGATTTGCTGTTAACTGATAGAATGGCTTTAAACGCGATGAATCACTTGGAACCTTCCTCCTTGAAGCTCCTTAGCTACTCTAAGCAAATGCTCAAAATTCCTCTTTTGTTCGAATGTAACTCCACCCTCATTCGGCCGGTGAGGGGCAAAGAAAAAACCTCCCTTATAATCATTTTCAGTGTTCCTAAATTGTGAGGGAACTCCGAAGATGCCCAATATTGAACCCAAAAACGTTTTGCAAGCGTTCAGGACACATTTTATGGAAAAGCAAAACGAGCGCTTGCATCAATGAGTCGAACCTCGATGCCATGTCTACAGTCCACTACACTACACGCTCGGCCACCGTTGCACAGGTACGGTGTTTGCTCTGCTCGGTGACCCGTTCATTAGCGCGGTATAACACAGGGACGCATCGGTCCCGTAACTTTGTTCCCAGAATCGCATAGCAGATTTGGAACACAGATTTGAGATCAGCGTTCGAAACCACCTACGGGGATAAACATCTCATCTTGAATGGCCTCTGCGACCAAGTATCCTTCCCTTGTCAGCAGAATGGAGGATTTATTGTTCAATCAATAGATTTCTTCTTCTAGGAATTTTCGTTCAAAGATGAATCAAAAATCGGCGGAAACTTTTCGGACAACCCAATAGTTGTATACATTCGTTCCATTTCAGAGATTCAATTACAGCATCTCAGAGCAACTTCTTGTCGTCTCTATGCTCTCTCTCTCTTTGACGTACCCTCTCTGAGCTCAATTCATATAAACACTGAAATGTTTGTCTTCCAGCACGTGCAGTAGCGCTCAAAAGTCATCGGTGAAATGCTTCTTCAGTCATACTTCTCAGTCGTAACTCCTTTCCTACTGGATCTAATCATGCGAAATTTCGATATGTGTAGCATGGGTGTATTGTGAATATTTACCACTATTAACCTGCAATCTGATCATGTTCCAGATATTCCAAAGAGCATGAAAACAAAATCGACTGAAAACACAAATGATGGTCCTTCTAGAATGTCTGCCCTTTTTGTCATGTCAAAGTGTACGAGCGGTAGTGCCGAACACAATAGATGAGGAAAACGCGCATACTGTGCGAATAAGTGCAGACGTCAACAACTTTAGTTTTAGCGAAACCTGCTACCGCAACAAACACCTTGCTCTATCTGAGGATATTACAGCTTCGCAGTCAAATAGTGTTGGGTAAGGTCAAATATGCTCTAGTTAAACATATCCAAATTTCGCACAATTTGGTCTACTAAGAAAAATGTTACGAACAAAAAGGAGTCAAAGCATTTCACCGAGGACTTTCCACGCTACTGTATGTCGAATAATCGTGTCTATCACTTTCGAATAAGGGTTAACTTAGGCAAACTCGGAGTAGTTAAGAATTGCCGTGAGACTTTGTAGAGTAGTACTCTGATAGATCACTTCACATTCACCCAAAATCCAGATTGGGACGGAATCGGATGCGGCCTATTTCTAGCTTGCTCTGCACAACTGTTATAGATCTCGCAATATGTCCCTACGCTTTCATTTATTTCCACCTAGTCCCTAATGTAGTATTGCATTATCCATCTCGTACCTAAGTTCCGCACAATAGCGTACAATTAAACAGCAAGATTAATAATTTGCAGCTCAAGAGAACAGTAAAGCATTGTCATCTTTGGAGGGAAATGCTCCTGCTAGAAACCCTTCAAACGTTGATAGACCACAAGGTCCCGATGGCAGTGTTCCTGAGGACAGAATAACAATTCAATCCAGTTGCGACAGCGAGGGCAAACATCTTTACTATGTAAAGCATTCTGTCCAACTGTTTGTTTGTTTGTTTGTTTGTTTGTTTGTACAGAAATTCGATAGAACCTGAAGAGACACCTGAAGAAGTCGAGTGAAGTTTGGAATGGGTTGGGCATAGGGTAAGTGCAACAGAGCACATGTAAGATTCCGCCCCTAAGGAGCGGGGCATGCGCCGGAATAGGGCGGGGCCTTGGGCAAACTCCTACCATTACCAACTCCAGACGCCGGGAAAAAATGTGCAAAGGTGAGGGATGAGTCAGCATTTTGAATAAAGGAAATTTAGCGGGGCGGGGTGTATGCTTAGGTGAAAACTATGTGCTTTTCAGAAACGAGTGTAACTTCATTCGGAAACGGGAAATAAATGCGGGAAAAGTGGTGGGAGGGGTAATGGAACAATTGCGAACAGATCCCTGAAGTGGGCGGGGTCAGCACCAAAGTAGGCGGGGCCTAGATCAAAGTTTCATAACTAAGTTCAGAAACGTTCTAGAACGGGCAAAATAAGTGGTTATAAATATTGGAACAAATGTGGTCAAATCATCGAAGTGGGCGTGGCTTAGATCAAAATTTCGTACCTCTGTTCAGAAACGTTCGAGAACGCGGGTAAAAAAGTGGTTAGGGGCATTGGAACAAATGTGGTTAGGTCCTCGAAGTGGGCGGAGCTATCACAGGAAAGTGTGGCAAGGACCAAAAATTCATCTCTTCAAAACTTTCCTGAATGCGGAGAAAGTGGTTAGGAGCAGTTAAAAGAAGGGTAGTCAAGTTTTTATAGTGGAAAGGGCCTGCGGGACCCCTTCCACTATAAAAACGGAGCTATGATCAACCATTAATAATTCTGCTAAACGAAATATGTCGAGCATGATGCTCTTAGCAGTTCAGCGTTCAAATCTAGTGAGAACTATCTCATTATGATAATCCAACATTGCGCCGAACGACTCCATCGTAGACAAGCGGTCGTCGACATATAATGCACGCGTTAGTGTGTATAGCCCAAATGGTTACCAATAAAGCCTTCGTTGGAAGTGACACCAAGGGGTCACAAAAAATTGTGTTTGGGAGGAGACGGGCAGTAAGGACAGTTCTGTGTAATCGATCTGCGGCACGCGGCTGTCGCGAACCACTTGCCTTGTTATACCAGTTCTAGCGTTCTTCATACAGCTCAATCGATATACGGTTATTACTTCTGACATGATTCTATTATTAGTTCTTTTGTTCCTGAATTTCTCACTTGTGACTGCATTCTGTTTCATTCCTTCGGCGTGGCGTCTCTCTTGTCACAACGCAACAGTTTCGATCCTGCTGCACCATACCCATGTTTGGGGTCTAACGCAAGACGGAAAAATACGTCATATGTGTACTATACCATGTCAAAGCTTCGTTCGAAACTCTTTGACATCGGAAGCAGTACATATGGGAGTGCCTCCACCAAAGGCTAGACTTACATGAAACCCAATCAGCTTTTAAGCAGTTGACATCAAAAAGGACAAAACAGAAGTAAATTTCTCTAGAATCTTCATTGGAGATCACATCCTGGTATTGCTCCAAGCATAAAGCGTAAAATTTACCTCGTCTCTGTATGCATTCCTTCAAATGGTAACAGAGACTATGGCATATCGTGGATTCAATGTATGGCGCGTTTAGCGCTTCTGTACCACAGAATAAACACTAAACTTGGCTCTGTTGTTGCGGCCAAACGTAGCCCAGCGGTTTCATTAACTATGTGCACGCAAGGACATTATGACGGTGCAACGAGGACTAGTGCAAACTTCCCATGTGTCTCGAACGTTCCACTGCGACCGCTACCGTAAACGTCAAGTCCATAAGTCTGATGACTGGAGTATGAAAACTGCTTTGTTCGTTCATCGTTTGGGCCAGTGCACGAATAGCCTGATCAATAGGCGATCAGCGAATGAAACATTAGCGAGAGCGAACTAACGTTCATGAAACCAGTTTTTCCCATTCATTATGAGGCAACCCCAATCAGTGGTGCAGTTATGCTTAGTTGTTGGACGACGAGACTCGGAACATGGCTGGGATGCGATTAAAATTTTCGGTGCAGAGATATTCATCAATAAAGCACAAATTTACGCCTTGTGTTTTCCATTTGGCCAAAATTTGCTATACAAATTTGGATCTGACGGAAAGAGCTACCGCACTAACATTCATACATATATTTAAAAAAATACGTACAAAAGGCAACCGATTATATGATATATCTTACCCGTTCTTACTGAAGAAACATATTTATTATTATCTGATTATTTTCAGAAAACAAATCACAGTAAGAATCAAACACGAGTGATTTGAAAACAAGGTGAACGAGAAACCAAAGGTGTTGCATATACCATCCAATTCTGGCAGAAAAAAATAAAAAATAAAATAACCGAAGTCTTTCATAGAAAAAAAGGCAGTGAAGAAGAAAAAGGACAATATTTACATAAATGAAAACAGGAAAATGTCATATGAGATGCGAGAAAGTAAGTTTAGTGATGAAAATAAGAGATGAAACACCTTCTACTCAATTGTCAGTCAAGAATAAAAGATGAAAAAGGATCAAGTTTTTGGCTCTTATCAATCCGTCTGAGGGATACGCCCCCGCACTCGACCTCCACTCAGAATCGTAGTGGCATTATAAGTGCGCTTGTGGCCTATGAATTGCGGTGGCCAGCCTATGTACAAGTCAGCGCTTTATCCTCCCAGAGGAGTCTGGTACCAATTCACCGATACCAGAGGGATGGAAGGCTAGGTTGGCCTAGGCGGATATCGATAGGGATTCGAACCTTTAACCATGCGAGTGTGAAGTGCGCCATTTGCCACTACACCACGTCCGCCAGATAAGTTAAGTATATACGGAAAAATATAGAAAAAGTGGAATCGCTGCAGGGTCGATGAGAGCGAGTGAGAGAAAAGAGTTATACTGTAAAGACACTTTTCTAATCAAGCTTGACCATTGTTCAATCTGAAAGGAAAAGGGCAAGCTGAAGAAACGAAATGTTTGCCAGCTTATATTCATTGCGATTCTTTATGAAGATTTTCAAGGTACCGATTCAGATCAATCGACTTTCCACTAGTTTCAATGAAGCAGATATATCCACAGTCAAATATCGATAATATCAGCGGAATATCATCGGCAAATCGGTGGGCATACGCACAACTCAGAGCGCCTCGACGAGAACTAGAAAAGAGCATAGGAGCAATTTTACTGAGAATTTCAATAGTAGTTGAATATCCAGTTCAATATGATTTGGGTGTGTGCGTGTGAGCTTTTGTGCCCTCTATGTAACTAGAAATTTTTAATTCTCATAGTTCTGGACCTGAACTTTCATACTTGGAAGATGACAGGCGACGGCGTGGGACTGTTGATGATATAACATTTCGCGAAATCGAATTACTTGAGCTGATGAAAGTACTCAGGAAGCAAGAACCACTGGGTCCTTTTGTATCAACGACGCAATTTTGGCACTGTGATGTGGGGTGGAAAAGGATTACAGATGGTCAGAGAACTGGACTAGAAATAAGTGACGATGAGTGCTGAAACAAAAAATCTGCAAGGTTCACACCGACTCTCATATAAGGACGCAGGTTTTGTTCTCAGACATGCCTGGTACCAATTTCCTGGTGCCGCAGGGCTTTATAGGCCTGGGCGAGTATTGAGCGGAGCATGCGTATGTGACGGTGCACCAACTGATCCTACTCCCAACAAAGCATTGATGTATCACAAATCGAATCGAATTAACAGATCAAAACCAGGCCCCAACGCTCTATTTCACAAAGCTCAGATGTGCTTTCGAGAGCACCTGTAGAGTGACTGCCCTTAATCTCTGGAGCGTTCCTGCAGATCTGAAATCTGAGCTTTTCCGAACGCGTATGTGATTTCCTTTCAAAACTTTTCGTTTTTGCGCACTCGGTGTTATCCTGATTCTTTCCATAAAATTGTACACACGTTTTCCAAACTTGCCACGTGAAAACTCAGACTCGTCGCCGTCTAGCCCACAACGCCAGTGGTCATTTTTAGCAGCTAGCAGCCGGCATCTTATTGGGCGACGTTATTTATCGCTCGCAAAAAAAGCGTTGAGTATGTAGTAGCCAAAACCCCAAGGCCCAACTCCACCATCATTCAGTTTTTTTTTCTCTCTCTCTCATCTGTGAAAGTTCTGGTAAACAGCTATGGATAGCCGATTAGTCTAAAAAGGCATTTTTTGACTCACTCAAAGCACGTGACTCGAAAAGCAGGACTTTCAGGCACACTGTGCACGAATCGATCCGCGAGGAATACTTCGAAGTCATACTCACTCCGAGCATTTCTGAAAAACTTTGCTCTCTTTCTCACAAGATATCGAAACGCTAAACACTCACTGTGGATACGCATTTCGACGGTCTCGAGCAGCACTTTTTGCCGACTTTATAGAAGTTCTTCGCTTGCTAGAATATTCCTTCCATGATGATACGGAACTTGTTATAGGCTGGAAATCTGGCCAGTATGCAGGACGCAGCATCCTTCGAGAGCCTCGCAAAGGCTAAAAAAGAGCTGAATTCATTGTTCGAACGCCTTAAAACAGGAATATTTAATCTTTCTTGTTCAATTTTACTCAGTATTTTGTCTTGAAATAAATTACAATGTTTGAGAAATGTCACCATCTCAGCCGTGGACGATACATGATAGTAGCGATACGACTTTTACGTTTACAGTTCTTTTCCCTTTCGAAGGTGAAGTCGAACCACGGAAAAAGCCGCGCCACATGTAGCCGCCTGCGCGAGCTCCCATTCCACAGCTCCTTCAGTGGGCTCTAGCGGTGTGCCGGTAGCTAGAGTCGAAGTAGGACGAAGGACTATGGCAGCAACAACAGGGGAAAGGATGCGCCATCACTAATGGTGGTGCTGTCTCTATTAATTAACATGATAACAGCACGATGCTGCTGTGTTTTTAAAAAAGCAACACATAAGAGCAGTGTAGCAACTCAGAAACATTTGTGAGGCTGAGCGCAACTAACCGTTACGGTCACGGGATTGAGCGCTTGTTTCAATTCAGCGCTTGTTTCAGAGAAAGCAGTATATGGACCTCTTTTCTCCTTGTTACCATATATGCTATCAGGATTATTACCTTTTCTTCTAAAAAATCTCAGTATTCGGCGTGGCTGGATGAGACTTCCACTTGAAGGAAAGCTCTAGGGCCATGATGTGTTAGACTTTCCACGGTTTTTGATGCTGTTCTATGGATACAGTAACTTTTACTAGAATCACATATTCTTGAAGTTTAAGCTAAAGTGGAAAAAAATTTGGGTTTAAGTTGAAAGTGGTTCTCTCAGAGTACCGGTTCTGATGGAAAAGATGGCATATGTTCTTGAGCCAATGAACGATAGCCTAAATATACCGAGATATAAATCAACTACCGAATGGAGCTTATAAAATTAGGCAGGTAATAAAGTTGCCAACCGTTGACTAGCACAGTACACGATTCGTGATCCAACATCAGGGGAGTAAGAATGAACTTCGGCTCAAAAGTTGTCAGGTTTAGTGGAGCAGCTACTTATGGTGCTGTCATGAGTTGATTACCTTCGGTGTTTGCAAAAGGAGAAGATGCCTCGTCTCTAAAATTCTGCGAAAACCACCCAATAAGCCGTCAACTCCAAAAAAACAAAATGCCTTATTTAGCTGATATTCATAATGGTAGACCAACTCGTTAAGCCACGCTAGGAAAGTTCACGCTAGGAAAGTTCAACGTATTTTTTCACTTGTGAACCGAACAATGCAGTTCTCACCATGTTGTTCGGAAAAACGCTAGACGAAAGGGAATCGCATTTTTCGCTATTCCTTTATAGCTGGGTTACTTTTCACTTTTTTTAAATAGATTGTTACAAGTCCGTGTAGCTAGAAGGTATACAGTGAGTTGTGAAGTAAACACCATATTCCAAAACTAAACGACGCGCGGAAACTAGATCGCCGCGTTTCTTAGGTTGCACTGATTATTTCGCCCCAATGCCCTAATGTGCCAATTTCGTGTAATTGTAAGAACTGCTTTTCAAACTGAGGAATAGTAAAAATAAGCTAATTTCTGGCCCAGCAATATAAACAACCTTAGAAATAGTATTTCTATACAGTTTACAAATTGTATGCCTGCACAGACCTCTTTTAGAGAGCAGAATCAAATGGGGTTTTTCCAAAGCAAAAAGACTCAAAACCTAACAAAGCTGTTTTTCTGGTTGGATGCAGATGAAGCAAAACCATTTTCTCGTCCAGCTGCACTAGCATCCCGTTTGAAAAACGTACGTCCAACGAACGGGCGTCTTTTTTGCTGTACCCACCGTGGCAGCTCATATGGGCTACCACCGTCCCAGAAAACGCAGAAACTACTAACGTCGACGAACTAAACGAAAGTTTCAACACTTTATCGCTCGATAGCGACGAGGAGATGGAAGAGTCTGACATGGATTACGATGGTGTCCTCATGGCCAATAATGACGTAGAAGAATTAAATGACGACCCAACAGAAGGACGAGTTTTTGATGAGGACAGGTGGTTTACTGATGCGAATTATTATTTGAACAGGAACCTGGTATTGCAGTTGAGGAAAAAACCTGCAGCGAGCATTTTGATTTCTTCCGTTTTTTTGAAGGAGTTGCTCGCTTCTATAGTGCAGGAAACCAGTCGTTACGGACTCATCAGATCGGCGAAGTTCAGGGAAACTGGTGAACAAGAAGTGATGCAATCTCTAGAAGTATTTCTTCTATATTTAAAGCGTTCGCGTCTGTCTACTGGTTTTGTTTGAAAGGAAATCCGATATTGCCTGAAGAAGCGCCAGCAGAAGTCGGGTCAAGTTTTAGATGGGTTGGGCAGAGGACAAGGCCGACTGAGCGCATGCGAGCAATCATGAACGCAGAAAAGTGGAGGTCAGAAAAAAATAAAAGAAATGAGCAAGGCCCGATGCGTGCTTGGCACACGCAAAGTCGGCGTGGCTTGTGTTGAAATGGGCGGGACGTGCTTTCAAAAGTTGGTTTTCGTTAGAGACTATAGAAGAAATGTGGCCGATTTCCTGAAGTGGGCGGAGTTTGCCCAAAGGTGGGCGGAACTACGATACAACACATTCCTTCGTTTGGAAACGTTCCAAAATGCGGGAAAAATGTAGTTGGAGGTAGCAAAAGGAGCGAGGTCAAACTCCCAAAGTGGGCGTGGTTTACGCTAGAGTGGGCGGGGCTAAGATCAAATGGGGTGCAGCCAAATCCCTGACTCTGGCGGTGTTTGCACAGGGTAGGGCGGGGCTAAGATCAAAAACTCATAACGATATAAGCAAATTACAGGCAATTCACACCTAGCACCCCCTATAGGCTGCCACCGTCCCAGGAGCACTTGCTGTTGCTAGCCCATATGGGCTGCCACTGGCGCAAATGTGCTCAGGACAGTGTACTGCAGCATAGACAAAATGACTGTCGATGTAGCTAGGGATGAGACGGCTGCCCTATTCGAATTACTGGGATCACAAAGGACGGCGAATCAGTCCTATTAAAAGGCACAATGATCCTGAGGCGAGTTCTATTGTCATCTGCTATAGAATCTTTTCCACTTTGGGAAATTTAGGGAGGTGACGGCAACGACATACTTCGAACAGATAATAGAGCAAGCATCTCGGCTGGTTCATGAATGGCACATGGTGGTCGGACTTGGTCTCTTTCACTTCATAAAAAGATGTATTTCTCAAGTAGTGATCAGTCATATCCTTGATAAGCCAGGGAGCCAACTCAATCACCTTTCACTGACCAGTGGGTCAGGTGTGAAATTCGTTCTCAGGTCTACCACCTTTCTCAGGCATTGCAGCCATCTTCAAACAGCTGAATCACATTCCACGAGCTCACAGCGCTTGAAAAATCGTGCAGGTTCTTTTATAGAGTTGATGTTGAGAGACACTCAACGAAGACCGCGTTGCAACGTGCGTTCATAAACACCCGAAATAAGTCGGATTACCAAAAGGAATCGTTCTTGTAAACTTTCGCTTCAATTTCCAGGAAATTCATATGGTCATAGATATTAGGATGATATAATATTGGTCTGATAACAATGTATCATTCGATTTTGAGGTAGTTAATGACCGAATGCTCAAGATATAAGAAAACTAAAACCTTATAAGGAACTCGGAAGCCATGTGGATTGTATGGAAAGTTGCTCAAATCTTCAGTTGGAATGAGCTGGCGATTGTGGTGGAGCATCGACGATACGAGCAAGTGGCTGTCCTTCATTGTTGGGAAATCATCAAGGAGGTTTCGAGGGTACCTTGGATTCACATGCTCTTCACATTAGGCAAATGTTTTGCTACAGAAACTTACGATGTATCGCAATCTTTTGAGATATGAATGCTGGAAGATGAAGCTTCCGGAGACGCAGTCATTTGCTCCCGCAAAGTAAGACCATGCACGCAAGCCCGGCTAAATGTCTTTCATTATTTTTTTTCCGACCCTGATATATATATATATATATATATATATATATATGTACATATATACACATAGATATGTACATATATATCTTAATATATATACATATATAATAATTAAATGTATATTTTGACATACCAGAAAAGCGGGCCCTCTAAGTTGGATGAACGCTATAGAAGATTTAGAAGTAATTTCTTATAGTGACTGACCTTACTTTTTTTATGTTATGACTACTTTTTATTTTTCAATTTTATTACATAGTTGCTCATAAACGTAGTCAGTTATTCTGTTAATTGTAGGCGTACTGTCAAGGGGTGGAACGAGTATGTAGACTTATGTGTGTCAGAGGATGCGCGCGGCAAATGCGCGGCGAAGTTCGTAACGATTTGAACGCTTTAGCGCCCGTCATTGGTGCCCAAATTTGAAGTAGGGTAGATTAGAAAGATCATCTGACCCTACTAAACTACCCTACTTCAAGTTTGTGCCCCAAAAGAGTCGTACAAATCGTCATGAGCTTCGCCGTGCAAGTTGCCGCGGGCATCCCCGGACGCACGTAGTGCATGTCCCCCTGGGTGGAACATGGAAGTGCAGGTTAAAGTTAACTCTGGGTGCTACACTGGGCGTACGCCAAGTAGGAACCATAGGTCCCGTGAGCTGAAGGAACTTCGTAGACTCGGGCATCATCGGGGAGTTGCGGAGGCAGCAACACCTTAGAGCACGTGCCGCTTGACCACCAGTCCGCATTATCCACCAATGCAAGTGCTGCCGGGAGTCCATGCGAGACAGCCCTACCGGACACGTCAATTCCATCGCATACCCTTGGACGACAAGGATTTGTATTGTTAGCGCATTTTTTGTAACTCTTTCTAACAGTACGGTAAACATACTCGGAAGAGCAGTCCATTTCTCGCTGAAGTGAGTGAAATAAGTTTCCACTTTTTCTGTCGCAGCAAACCACAATGACACTCACTTCGGGCGTAGAACGGCAAACCCTGCCTTACGAAGCGCTGAATAGGCACGATATTTGTGAAATGGTATTCCGGTTTCACCGAGGATACGAATCCCATCATAAAGCGTAAGTGGACGTCCTTCATCAGTGGCATACACCATCCAGTGCTATAAAGCAGTGATTAAATCAATACTGCCTAGAAGAAACCGCGATCGCTAATGGAATGGATACCTCCATGAGATATAGGACTTCTTCTGGAAACAGCACATGTCCGCCGCTTCTCAAAGGAACTCCCATGATTTTCAGATAGTTTTTCTGCAATTTCCAGTCATTAAGCTGAGGAGAGATAATTAAAAGAGACATAAAAAAAACTTTTTTTTTGAACAAACATCCTCACTGTATATAACGCGCTCGCGTCGGTCTGTCTGTCTGTTTGTTTGTCTGTTTGTTTGTTTGTTTGTAAGGAGATTCGATATTACTTGGAGAAGCACCTGCAGAAGTAGGGTCAAGTTTGGGACGCGTTGAGCAAGGGCGAAACCAACAGAGCACATGTGAGCTCAACGGCGCTCAACCCACAGAGGGCAAGACTTGCACGGAAGTGGGTGGTGTATTGGGCAAAACGTTTGAGTTAGCATTCATAACAGCTCAGATGCCGGAAAATAAATGAACAAAGGTGAGGCATGGGCAAACATGTGGACAGGAGAAGACTCACCGAACCGATGGCAGGCGGAACGTTCTCGCAGTGGCAGGTACTTTCTATATAAGTTCAAACTCAATTCACCCAAGGCGTATAGGTCAGAAAAATTAAATGGAGTGAACAAGGCCCTGTGCGTGCTGGGCATGCATGAATTTGGCGAAGCTCCGCCCACGGTGGGCGAGGCAGGCGTTGAAATTAAGCTACTTTTCAGAAATATGTATAATTCGTGTTTGAAACGTGCTGCAACGCGGGAAAATCAGGTACAGGTAACAGAAGAAATGTGGTCCGATTTCCGAAGTGGCGGGGTTTGAGCTAAGAAGGTCGGAGCCACCGCACCCCCCCCCCTTTTTCGCTAACTCCGCCCACCTTGGCGCAGTTGGGCACGATTCCCTCAAAGCGGTTCAGCGGCCAATTTCAGAGAGAACTATCTTATTCTGATAATCCAACATTCCGCAAAATGACTCCATCGAAACGACCGGTGGTGGGTAATAAAGCACGCGTTAGCGATCACATAGCACATAGCGAGCAGTGTCACGATGATAAACCATTCAGCCAAATTGTTCAACTCATGATACCTACTATCGTCGTCTAAGGCGACGAACACCTAATCTTAACTACTATATCGTCGTCTCACTGTCTGAGACGACTCCCTCTAGCTTAACCCACGCCCCTAAACGGTGCGGAGTCAAGCGGCCCCGAGATAAGTGGGGCCCTCACTTCTACCTCGAACAAAGTCAATGGCGAGGCGTAGGTTTTGTACTTAGATAAAGACTTATTTGCTATTCTTCTGTTCTTTACTAGCGGTAACGCCCGCACTCACTACTATTTACTTTTTTCATTCTACTCCGAATTAACCGGAGTATATAAATCCACTGAACCGCCAGCACACCTACTTGCCCATACTCCACCCTATAAGCAATATTTCAATTCAGAGTTTCTTGACCGAAGAAGGGAGCTGCGTAAAGATAACAATTTCCATGGATATTAATCGAATTAACTATTCAAAACATGACCTAAACTAGATTCTCAAAGTTTTAACCTACACGCTTCTTTGTCACTTCGAAAATCGAATGCTCGCGATTGAACGCCACGTAAATGAGCGATTTCCTGAAATTCGAACTCATCTCGAACAAAAAAAAAAAGATGAAAATAATCAAGAAATGGCATGAATGCTAACGCAGAGCGCTTGCATGACACTGGTTTCAACTCGCTGCTTTCTTTTGACAGTTGCTTGCACTTTTTCTCTTTCTGTGCGGATGATCCCAGCCCTGAAACAGAAAAACGTAAGAACAGATGCATGTTCTTGATATGAGGGTTCTCCATGAAGTATATTTTGTTATTATAATATAAAGCATGAATTTCTTAGCACGATCATATCGAACATGGCGCAATAGAAAGTAGACCTAAGTTGTCTTCATAAAGGTCAGCTATGAAAAAATAAGCAGTATCGAAATAGATGCTACTTATCATTGGTAATTGAAGCACAAAGGTTTAAACATACTGCACATATCTTGCGTGTTGCTTTCATAAGGCGCTGCCTCAGCCGCATTTCGACCCCCATGTCCACAATGACGTTTCGCTGAGTGAACTGCTGCATCTTCTTCTTTGTCCATTGACCACCTAAATTTTCAATATTAACTCGTCCTATATAACATTACCGAGCGAAATTGACAGTAGTATTCACTGCGAAACCGCAGCGAGTATCGAGAGGCCACAAAAACTAGTGGTTACGCCTCTACACCCTATACGTATAGAGGAATATCGCCGACGATCTCTTCAACGTCTTCATGAATACTTGTCATAAATATCCCGAAAGTCAACATTTACCTTCTTCTGATGTGTGACGTGAATGCGCTCTTTGCAAACAGTCGGAACTTTTTGAATTGTACAATGAAAAAAGGACCCATTTCGTGTTTTATCCGGGTATTCGTTGACTAGCACACAAGCAAATGAAAATGAAATCATGGAATCCACATCTAAGTTAGTGAATTTCCGACAGAGCGGAGGTATTCTCCGCGCTGCCCGCACCCGGCTCCACCCGCGCAGTCGCGCGCTATGGAGGCAATGTTGGAATTCCCATTGGAAGGATACAGCAGCTAGCGTCCAATAAATGCTGCTTGCCGTGGAAATTTGGAAAGAAGTTCCGCCACCATTCCTAGCACAGGAGTAAGACTCGGAGGCAAGAGACTATTAGACACAGGTCCCATCGGCAAATACATATAAGTTGACACAAAGCTGAGGGCGAACCAGCCCTAAGTTAACATATTGGTAAACGCGCTTTTTGAACGTGTTAAGCGGATGGGGGCTCATTTTCGCAGGTTGCTGCTAAGAACAGCCCACGAAAATGGTCAGCCACCCGCTACTCGTGTTTGAAGAGAGTGTGGCCGCAGGTGGACCACACGGCCTCAAGAACAACCTAGTTCCTTTACGCGCCTTTCTCTTTATATTAAGTTCTTTAAGATATTTTGGAAGAAGTTGTAAACCGTATATGACATCTAAAGTTGTTTTGACTTGAGTTGTACTGTCTGCAACATGAAAACAGTTTCCCCACTGAAATGGAAGGATGGGAGAACTTTTGAAAACATCAACTTCGCATGATGGCAAAAGCAGCTCAATGAATAACCCGTAATTGTTGAAGACTTCTATGAACCTAAAGGGTTTTTGATCAAGGACAGGTGCTGGCTCCTTCTCCAATCACGTATCCCTCTCATTTATAAAGCATAAACTTCGTGTGTCGGTTTGTCGGTATGTCGGAATATCGGTTTGTGTGTCCGTCCGCCCGAGAAATTTATGATTACGATAAATGTAGCGGTATGGAAAACTTTGCTCTATTCTACACTCCCTTCTCATATATAGGGCCGTAACTTGGTGGGTAGGTCCAAGGAGAAGAGTGAGTACTGCGTAGTGAAGTGAGTGATGCGGAAATAGTTCAGCACTTCGAGGCTGTGATTTCAATCTGTACCGGCATCGTGGTGTGCATGTCCTTTCAAAAATCGGAGGTGTCAATGTAGTTGGGAGACCATCGCTTTTCTTCAACATTATTTTAACATAATGAGGTCAGCCCATAACTGTGCTCATTAACGTTTCTTAGCGAGCATACAGTTTTTTAATCTGCTCATACCCCATCCTAGCTTTTTGCACGAGGTAATCACTTCACCCCCACCACGCAGCTCCTCCCCTACTCAAGCTTACCTTAAAACCGTATTCTTGCTTAGAACCGTTTCTAAGTACAGGCCGGGTCGGCTACCCCTCCTTTGCACTCTAGCCCTCAGTGTTGGGTAAAAGCAATGCCGTCTCCTCTAACTATCCTTTCTAACTTCTTGGTAAAAGTAAGGAATGAGGCGCGGCGTAAGCCGGGCGATCCAAGTGGTCGCACGTAAAATGTATTACAAAAAATTCCCTCACTTTGCCATGCAAGTAGCAGTCCCATACGGCGGAGAAAATTGAGCCAAGGTGGAAATGAGTCAACGAATGAAATATGTCCCGAAGCGAAACAGACTCTTCACCATGGGTGGAATGCATGGTGCATTCTACATAAATTCAGAACTCGATTCAACGAAGGCGTAGATGCGAGAAAAAAGAAAAGGTGAGGAAAGTCTAATCTGTACTCGGCAGCCTAGCGAAGCTCTGCCGGAACTTGCACTCAAATATAAGGTACTTTACAAAAAAATACATATGACTCTGTTCAAAAACTTTCTAGAATGCGGAAAAGTGCATCGAGGGTGTTGAAGGTAGTGAGGTCCTCGAAGCAGACAAGATTCAAAATTCTGCTTTACCATTCTGGGATCTGGTAATGTGTAAAGAAGTTGAATCTGTATGTCTGTCTACCTGTGACAAGATTCGTATCACCTAAAGACGCACTCAAGGAAGTCGGGACAACTTTGGAATGGATGGGATTTAGAACAAGACACTATACGAGACGCATTTGAAAGTGTCGAGTACTGAATAAGCCAGAGGCCGTTGAGTGTGTTCAAAATGCTTCACAAAAGATCATGGAATAGCCAAACACGAATCAACATGGGGCCTCAAAAGTTACATTCCCAATACAGAACACCCCGCTCTACTACTATTAGGAGGCCCTAAGCAAGCAGGACAGATAGATTGCGAATACTTAATTCAGTCCTTCCTGAAATATCACGGCATACTCGTGCACCGACAACCAACCGACCAGTGAGAACAAATATGGTATCGGTATCAAACAACTACGACGAACAAAGCATTGAAAGCTAGCAAGATCGAAGCACTGCAAGCTAGCAAATCGGTTAGAACAACCTCTAAATGCGCAAACAGTAAGAACAGTAGAATACGCTTTGTATAAATAACATTTCCGAATCGACGTGAGGCGAATCATTTGAAAACATAGAATTTATGTTTATCACAATGAAAATGGTGCAAATCGTGACGCGAGCTATACACAGCAACATAGGAAAGAGACTATAGAAAGTGAAGGAGTAGACCAATCTAAATCACGAGTCAACGAACTGACCACAACTAAGGAAAATGTAATACAATCATCACAGCGGATAGGAACGGAGAGAAATTAACGATTACGCAAAGCTATAACATTGAAGCGAAAGGAAAAGACACGCATAAACTTTAAAAGACTAGTTCGGAACTGATCCAGAGGCTACTCACCCCTCGATAGCGCATTAAATGCCATGAAAACCGTAGAGCCATTTGCTGAACCAGAAGTTTGTCTATTAATAGCATTTAGCAATACGTACCACATCATCATGGACGGCGTCAATTAAGCGCTACAAATTTGGTGCCACTCTAAAAAAATATACTTATAGCAAAAAAAAAAACTACTAATTGGTGTACCTCAAATATCTGAAGCAATTAAAATTGGATATACTTAGAGCACAGTTCGAAGCAATTCTATACCGGAGCAAGCCCAATTCGAAAAGCAGATTTCGCTGAGATTCACGAAGAAATGTGATGAAATAACAATAAGAAGAGAAACACAGCACCATTACCAGCTTCTTCATAACAGACTACACCGAGATCGTTTCAATAACAATTCAAGGAACTCTCGAGGGCGAGTAATGATTTAGAATCCAGCAAACTAAGGAAAATTAACACGTCAGCAATCTACTATATAAAACCCGTAAGGATCAGAACAGATCTAATGGAAGGAAAACTTTACGACAGGCACGCTCCACGGGACTCTGAGGTCTATCTTGGTGCGGCATGATACACATAATACGAGGTGGAAGTTTGTGGTACTCCTCAATGTACTGCTTATCCAGACTGTCTCTCAAAAGGGCACGACCAAATACATCCAAACTGGCGAATTGTATATCCCTAAAATTTTAGATGTAGTTCATTTGCCACACAAAACAAAATACCTTGATTTTCACGAAACACGGTAAGATGTAGAATTATTACCTGAATACCGGAAAATGAGGGCCGAGAGCAATTTGTCCGTTTTCAGTCACCCTTCGGCTGTCATTAATGAGTGTTTGAATCGCAGTAAATAACCGGTTGTCTTGTACTGACTGAGTTACAGTTTTCCATACAGGTAACGAGCGACTCAGTTTTTCTTGTGATACGAACTGAACATTGACACCTTTCCCATCTTTACGCAACTATCAATCTTCATGCATAGCAGAGATTGTTTGGAAATTGTATATCAATCAAAGAAATAATTACCTTATGATTTGGATTCACGAGATAGAGAGGAGTGGGACCAACATGATCAAGAGGACGATCATAGACACATCGTATATGTGCCCGAGGTGATATCCACCTGGACAAAATATATGTAAACATTGTTTTAAGAACACAATGCAATCAACTTGCATATAGAGATGCGATGGCAACGAAAGTCGTCGAAGGTAAAACACCAGATTCCAGAAGACAACTGGATGACTTGTCATAATTTGAGGGTCCTTGAAAGATTGAATTTGGTGTATATTCTACTGACCATCAAATTCCCACGAGTACCTTCAAGGCGTACAAATCGGCAGCCAGAAGCGTCTCCACCTCGCGACGAAGTACTAGGGGACTTACATACGAGACACAGATATCCTCCGCAGCACCTGGTGTTGAAGCTGGTGTACTTTGCTAAAAATTATTTACATGAAGTCGAGAATATGACTGTGTTAAAAGGAATAACGAAACCTGTAAATCTGCATCGAATGTATTCAGACGGTACCAACTGGTTGTCGGTTTATTTCGCCTCTCGATATGGACTGTGAGCCGTGGGGCGAAGATCTGTGAAAACGCCTTCGTACAACAAGTTTTTAAATTTTCTAATCTCTAAAGAAATCTCATTTGATGTGGCTGACCTGCACAAGGTTCAATAGAGCTATGAAAACAGAAGCCGCATATAAAACTAAAGGACCGAGTTCAAGGGGACAAAGTGGCAGTTGACCTTATTTTTGCGGGACAAGCCAGAGAGAGCAATGGAAACTCCAGGCTTTTTTGCATGCATCAAGGGTTGCATTAAATAATATGTATCCTGATCAAGCAATAAAAATTGGAATTTGCTCACATGTGCAATAACTATATCATATTCCATAGAACTTATTAAGATCTACGATGATCAAGAATAACGAAAGCCGAATAGAAGCCAGGATAACAAAAAAAGCTCCTCTATCGAATGATTACCGAAAACTCATATCGACCATTTTGGATTGAGGTTCACCTTCGACACATGTAATCAAGAATTTCGAGTATTGACTTATGAGGTCAATTCTCGAAATCCAGCAAAAATTGTTTGCAAATCAGCTAAAGAGGAGCTTTCGTTCGGTTTGGGATTTTTGGTTCAGTTGATTCCACTCTTCATTAGTAAGGAGAATGTATGCAAAAGTAAATAACCTACAGACGGGTATGCATCGAACATTCTTCGCATAAAAATTGAAATTCAAATTCAATCCAGAAACTGAGTGAATCATTACCCCATTCCGCTCGGTTCCAAGTTTCCCTTCGTCTTCTGGGAAGCAATATGGGCAGACGGTATTAAGATTTTGGTCATCCACCTTAAAGTCGCTTATCAAAAACTTGACGATAAAAATGATCTGAATTTCACTCAATCTCCGCTTACTTTCCACCCCGACATGATCTCCTCGTCGTATATCATCATTCGGCAGTTTGGGCACGGTGTACATGACGAAAGTGTTACATCAACGATACCAGAGCGGAAAGCTTCCTCTCTCGCTTCGTCCCTCTCCCCTTTGCGCATTTCATTTCGACGAAGTTGCAAGTATACCTAAACAGCTGTTATGGAGTTATGAGCAGTTGTCAGCTACTCTCAACTGACCTCTTTAAGCCACCAATCATCATTTAGAATTGAGTCCGCTTTGCCGCAATCGAGTTGATACGCGTTGTCTTCCTCATCTATATCCACTGTGTCATCGTCCTGATAAAAATACACTTGTCTAGATCAAGTACCTACTCACTTTATTCGTTAGCTATAATCGCACCATTTTAACCGTCGCAACCGCAGATCTTATAATTTATTATTTACCTTCACATTACATAGAACTAAACGGGCATTTTATAGGCCACGGGAATAATGAGTGACAGACTACGCAGGGGAATGTTGGCGCTCATGTCAAAAAGTAAGCGATGGAGCTCACTTTCGAGAACTGTTTATAAATGCCATATCGGATGAAGCTCAGAAATAACAGCACTCATGCTTTTGTAATACACTAGCGTGACTCATAGCAATGGAAGAGAATGGTATAGCATACTAAAATAAGACGGAGTAAAAAATTTCGAGCCTTCTTTGCAAATTTTTCAAGTTAAGCGAGAATGTAAAGACCAAAATCTCAATCTGAATTTGAGCTCAACGTTGATGCACATGAAACATCATTAGCTGTTTCCAAGAAAAGGGGGGAAAAAGAAAAGACATCAGTAACATGGAAGATAAAACGTTGACTGATAACTTTAAACTGAGCACATACCGAATCATCGCCGAAAATGGTTCCGCTACCTCGTTCACGATACGACCGATTGAGGCTTTTAACTTCACGTACCAATGAGGAGACTCCCAGCTTCAGCTTAGAGGACACAGCTGAAATGCAAAGAAATAACGATAAAATTTTGTCACGTTAGTTTCTTCTAATCTTAGAAGTTTAAATTATGTTCGAGACCAAGATCAAATGAAAGTGCAACTTGCCGTCCATGCGAACGTCATCATACCCCTTCCATACTTGATTGACGATAGCATGAAGACTCGGGCTGACCGACATTCCTTGAGCTTCAGGATCTGGAGGCTTTGGATTTTCTAGAAACACTCTACAACGTTCAAGGCAGTGTTCTCGACAATTTTTCGTCGTGAACACTACTATGATGAAATAAAAAATTGATGTAAGCTGTTAGGAACGCAAACCAACCGAAAGTCTGACTGCGGATCATCTTCACTATTGGGCTATTTGTAATTCCTTTCAACCAACCGAGGGATTTGTTCGGTGTCTAAACAAAAAAACCTCTCACAAGTCTGGACAGTCTTAAACTGGAAGAAACATTAACTGCACCTTACTCTCCGATTTGATATTAAACTCATTGGCGAAAGGAGTGGATTCCAATTCAGCCATAAACTTGGCTCTGCTAGGACTCATTGGCATGTAATTTGAAGATAGCTAGAATCAAGTAGAGCTAATGCTGATACTCATACTTGTAAAATATGTTCACTCGATCACCTTAGGTGTGCTTGGAGTTTTCGGAGTTTCTGCACTCGAAAGAGCTCCAAGAGGATCCAAGGGATCGATTTTAGTAGGGTTTTCCTGAAAGTTATGTACCATGGCGAGAAAAAAAAAACAGCTAGACATGATTCTTTCCACCCATTTTTCTTGATATTGGTCGTAAGAATAGAACTTACATCACAAGTTGCACTAGGCTGAACGGGTTCGTATGAAATAACGTAGGGCTTCGTTTCCAACTCCAGCGCTTCCTGGGAAAATTTATTTAAATTAGGCTGTATCTGACCTTATAAAACATGAGCAAGTTTACCAGACGCTTTTCTTCGGCTGCTTTATCGCTGTGATATCCACTATCACTCACTGATTGTGTGTCTGCTACAGAAGGATACGGATTATGAGCGTTAGATCTTATGCACATTTTGAATTTGGTGATAGCTTGCAGATGCAGCCTAAAGATTCGAGGACGTGAAAGGATTAGAGAAAGGATTAAAAAACTACCAAGGTAAATGGCTTCGGCGATCTAAAATCATTTCACTGTCTACACTCAAAAATATATCAAATGCTTCCAATAAAGAAATGCCAACCGTAACATAGCCCATGCAGATATGGCGCGTTGTCGTGAGGAAGTAGGCCACTTTGCATTCAGCACGGCGCGGTGATAAATTCCGTACGTAACGGCATTCTGTTCAACTCCTGCACGATGCATTGCCTGCAGAACGACGGAGAATTTTTTAAAAAATTAGAGCCAAAAACGCAAGACCACAACAACAGCGACAGCCATTTTTACATGCTCACTCACTTGAAGCACCTTGACAGCTAGCGAAGGTTCTCCACATTCGCCGCAGAGCTCAATCAGGATACGGTAGCAAACCTGATCCAAAGGGAAAACATCTGTATGTTCCATTCTATCCAGTATCTTAAGATTGCATATTGCCTTGCACCAGATTTGTAAAAAGAAGCACAATGAGTCACAATACCCACATGAAAAGCCAATAACAGAATCTTTCGTTTGTTTGGGGCGATGGAGACGAGGCTAGGTAACTGCATAAACCATAACGAATAGGCATAAAAAAGGAGTGTTTTTGGCCAATGCAAAGGATTCGTTCGCACTGAGTTGGTCGCAGCAAGTATAGACGATTTCATTTCTGGCTTCGTACGAACAGCAGCACACCGATTGTGTTCTAAAACCAAACATGTTATGTAAAGGTAAAACCGTTCATGATGGCTAAAACTCAAAGACAAGCTAGATTCTATGCATCGAGGACAAAGAACTACAACTAACTCCCCCCCCCCCCTGATCAGGAGAAAATATCCAAAAAAACACTGTGATGTTTTAATGTTTTCAAGGAAATCTCGAAAAAACTTTAGAATTCGTCAGCACCGTTTCACACATGCCTTTCACCTATTTCTTATTATGGGTCATGAGCAAAAAAAATTAGAAGAACGGAAGCGTTTTTTTCATAGTGCTAAGTGATACAAACTAGCACTAGCACCGAAGTGCATCCTGTGACGGAAGAGAAATTTGAGACCACTTCGGGCGTACCGTATTGCACAGGAACTGTGTGTTGGTCTGTGGTGCGATTTAAATTCAGTTGATCAAGTTGGAATAGTGCGGGGTCCAAACGACGAGGGAACCGTTCATATCTGAATTCACGCTCAAGTCCAGTAGCGGGATCAATAATTGGCTCCGGGGGTGCGATGAACACCTGCAAAGTATGTCTCATAGTCTCAACAAAAAAGAAAAATGGTATGATGTTGCTAGTCGTCGCTACTGATTCAACAAAAAGGAGAGAAGGTATATAAAAAATTTCACTTACGGAAGTATTGTTCAAATGGGCAGAAGAGTCGGACTCAAGAAGAGGTACATCATTCCCTTCTGGAATGATAGGAATACGTATTACAAAGCAAATAACTCTTGAGCTCTGAAAGTCACTCACCACTCATATCAACTTTGGCTATACAATCATCAAAGAAAGCGTTATATGTGCTCTTGTCGGATATGAAGCTACGTTCTTCGATAAAACGAATAAAAGACTGAGTTGCGCCAAACCTGCAAATGAAGATGAAAATACTCTCCGAACATATGCAACCTTAGAGCCGTACCTTCTGAAAAATTCTACTCCAGATTTATCTCTAGACTTCAAAAAGCCGTCGAGATCGAAAAGATTTCCAGTGTCGGTTGCACTCACACTTGCTGGCGCGCATTTGATTGGTTTCAAAAAGGACTGATATCCACGCATTAAATTGGCCATAAATCTAAACTGCTTCGCGTTGGATAGTGTCTCATTTCAGACGCTGGTAGTAAACCAAAAAAAAATGCAAAAAAGAAGGGGTAGTCAACCTCAAAAACGCATCATGAATCGCCATTTCCAACTCCTTTCGTTTCTTCTGTATCACCATTTCGCGATCTACAGGAACGTAGTCCGCTTTTTTGCTTCCAAGATCAAAAGCCTCTTTATTCAGTCTGGAAGCATGTTGATATTGAATAATATTCGGACTCTGTTGGTATTTTTCATATTGTTTTAGTTCTTCCCGATCTCAATGGCGCACCCGGATGTGCATAATAAACGAATAAATAAATAAATGCTCAAAAAATAACATAAAGAGCACAAAAAAACTGAATAATTATCGAGATAAAACCGAAATGTAAATATTGGTATAACCTTCTAAAACTATGCCAACCTCATGTTCACGAAACAAAAAGGTTTGCCTAAACTTAACAAAAAAAACATAATACTTTTTGGAAGTATTATGTGAGTCCTCTTACCTCCTGAACAAATCATCCAACGTTGCTTTGAGTTGCTTCGTTGGTTTTTTCGGAAGAATCGACAGCTTCAACGTTTGCCGATTCAACGACTGACTTATAGTAGCCGTGTCCAGATCGAAACATGTCACGTCGGGGGGCGGGTCTTCGTATAAATCGAAGTACCTGTACATAATCTTATATGAGTGCTCAGAGTGCTCAATAAACTCAAACAAGTTTCATGAGTCAACAAAATCAAAAAGCAACCTCGAATCAACTCCGGCAATAAATGGCAAAGGAGCATGAAGCACACCGGCTAGTCCCAAAGGACACTGGGGAACATATGGACACTGCCAATGGAAGGGAAACATCAAAGCACATACGCTCTCAGCAACAGCAGTGAGCATCCAAGACCTGCACAGATTCGAAAATTATAATGCTTGATTATTGGGTTCACAATAAAATATGCTGCCTGAAATGGGCAAACCTCAACGAGTGTACCAGTATTTTTTGTTCCAGCAGTGCGAGCATCATCAGATAAATAAGATTATCAGTGCCAAGTGCTCTCAGCGTGTCGCATAGCTGAGCACCTGAAGAGAAGGCTAAACTTTTCAAATATCACAGTCGCCCTCAAGGTCCGAAAAGGTTACCGTTCAGTGGCAGCTGGCTTTCATCGTACGAGTCGAAGCTTATTGTCTCAGACCCCAGCTGCATCAGAACATAAGGACGGCGCGGTGTAGGAAAGGACACTTCGAACATCTAAATTCATTCCTGGTTCTTCAAAAATTTTCGATAACATCGTGAATCTCGAAAATCTATCATTCAGTATTCAGTTCAAATTTACCAATATTAAAAGGCAACTGCTAATCTAATACCGCAGGAATCTAAGTCCACTAGCAGGCAGGGTATCATCTTCGCAACAGCGGCGTCTATGAGAAAAGAGACATTAAAGGAGGATGGGAAACCGAAAGAAAGGAATGTAAGAGCAAATTGAGACGTAGCTCTTTGCCGCTCACTGGCAAGATTACAAGCGTCGAAAAACTGTTCCAAAGAAGCCCAGAATAATATCCAATATGGACTTCCAACGCCTACATTTCTCAGCAATTGAAGGTGAGCGAACATTCGATAACTATTGCAACAAACACGATGAGGGCAGGGTCTACATATTTAGGCACTTGGCTAGCTATGAATAGTTAAGGCTTGAACAATGGCTGTACTGGAAAAGAAATTCTAAAGGGAACTCACCAAATGTGATATGTAACGTTCTATAGGAACTGCATGCACTCCTCCTCCTATAGACATCCTGTGTATGTAATAAAGGAAACGCTTGAAGGAATTAAAAAACGGATATCGCGAAATAATGCAAATGGCGATGTTTGTGTAAAACGTCATCTGAAACATGGAGTAATGGGATTACGAAGAAGGTACCTCAAGAACTAGAAATAATTAACGATCAACCTCATCAGCAGGATCATTGTTACTAGAGCTATCTTCCACGGCACCTGCCTCGTCTACCCGGCCCGTTGAATTGAGTTCTAATTGTTCCAACTGTTCCTCAGACAGCTTTTCATCATATTTCTCGAAAAAAGAAACAGAAGCACCATAAAACTTTGTTCCGTTCTGTAAGTGAGAATCATTAAACAAAAATTGGAATAAAATCCAAAAAAAAGAAAAAAACTACAAACTTCGTCAGTAAGAACGAATGTTGAGAAAACTCTGTCCGGTGGCTGACACTTAACCGGCCAACATTCAATAAGGGCGCCCATTGGGAGACAGAAAAGGGATATGTTCTGAGCTAATTTGAAATCATCATCGTTACTGTCTCCAGATTTAGCCTTTGGAAAATAGTCAAGAACCTGAGATAAAAGATACTGTGAAATCTAGTACGAAAATTCAAGAAAAAAAGACTCACCGATGGCTTATAAGCCAGTCGTTTTGTAGAGCACTGTGATTTTTTGTAGCAAATATATACATCTGATCCAACCATACCCTTAATGAAATCATTTGAACCCTGTTTATGAAAAGTTGAATACTATCTTTGAAATAACCTTATTTAAATTCTTTGGAATTTTGTAATAAGTGTGAAGGGGAATTTCTCCTTTATTAGCGAGTATAACACAAATGTCGGTGACCACAAACTGGCTAGGTGCACTGCTTGGGACAGCCCGTCGATAAGTAAGAAATATATTCTGAAGAAAAACATGTAGAAGCCGCAGACTTAACTTGAACCTCAAGATGACAAGAAACAAACCTGAGATGCGTTATTAACATTCGCCGGTCGTCCGAAAGGAGTTGTTTGCACGATGTTAGTATCAACCATGGGCTTTTCACCCCGACCTGCAACAGAACCTCTCTTATTTAACATCAACTTGTTAATTGAAGTCAATACGATTGCGATACGAAAAAGAAATCGTCTGCAGCGTGCATGGAAGATTTGAAGTGTTAAGGTAAATCTTGGAAAAGCTAACCGTATTCAATCAATCCGATGTCAAGCAGTGGAGGTTTGTGATATCCCCTGCGATAACATAGAAACACGCTTGGCATACGTATTGAGCCATGATTTAGATCTGCAGGGTATCCTAACTGCGTGGTCTCAATAATTTCGTACCCCTCAGGAGCCTGTAAAAAAATTTAGAGAAGCTGAAAACAAGTGAGAAAAAATGCCTACTTGAGCAGCGAAGAATTCTGATGAACATACCGTTTCACCGAGGCTTGGAAAAATGACACAAATATCAGTAATTGGAGCCAGAGGAGAGCTGTTTCGGAAGCCAAACTCTTGGGATGATGGGGTGGCTTGCTCAGGAGCTTCCTAAAAAGCGATTTTCCACTTGAATAAAGCAGCTTCGAAAGTCAAATAAACATGAGTAGTTCGAGCGCAGTCGAACATAACATCAGCGAGCAGGGACCACCACCCACATGAGATAACGCTTTACGATAAAGTTTACTTTCAATCTAACTGAAATTTGCTCCCTCGGGAGAGAGGGCCCATGTCAAGCAGTGGTACAGTGCATGTGGTCTCCACAAACTAGACTTTGAAATAAAAATTTCGTTCCAGCGTTGTTAAAAATTACGATAATATAAGAAATCGTAATTATCGACAAACAGCTACCCAAAATGTTACAAATTTTGCCTTGAGAACCACTGAAAGTAAAATTGCAAAGAAAGCAACTGCAGCTAAACATGACGAAAACGCAAGAAAACCCTTTCAACTGCGCCTAAAGCTAGCGTATCGGGATAAAACCAATTTATAAGCAGAGTGCTCCACACTTCCTAAAGGACACCAGGTGTTACACCTTAAAAAATATAATCTTGGGTAGGTAGACAAAGGAAGTTTGAAACGTCAGGGAACTCTGATCAGACAGTGAGTTTTATTCGCCGATTTCAAGGCTACCATGAACCCTAGGAACAGCTATGATGCTAATCTATTATGAACACTCCAGAGAGAAACAGCCGCCGCTCACTGCTCAAACGGCTTTTCAAAATTTTGACAGGTTTGCAAGATAGCATCCGACCGACGTCAGCGTAACTTAGTACAGGCAATTTTGAATCTCTTAAAATTTAAGACCTCTCCCACTTGGAATACTTCGTCCCTTTTTTAACTGCACTGGATAATTCAAAACCATTTAACAATACGTATTAGTTGTAAAGGTGATACCTGTGAGAGACCAGCGATCACAAAATGCTCAAAAAGACGTCGGTCATCGTCTTTACTTGACATCGTAGTGAATACGACCAACAGCGACCTCTAAAACATCCACTTCCTAGTCGTGACACGGAAGTTCACATCGTTTATATAGTGACTCATGCTCCAAAGAGTTAGTGTTTTGAGAAATCACCAAGTGAGCCACGAAAAGGAGTCAAAAGAAACTGCTGAAGTGTTGAACAGTTTGTAGTTGCTATCAGAACGAAATTAATATGAAATAAATTCGAAAGGAACTCAAAAGAATCAGGGACTGCAAATAGTTAGGCGAATGACAAATACAAGAACATCTATTGTTCAAAATTGCTCACCCAAGTGGTTGGGATTTAACCGTCAGCATTTAAAACTACCGCCAATTCCCTCGCGCGCGCTGCATGCGCGATGCTAACTAAGCAGCCTCGAACCATCTCCAACCACCCATCTTCATTGTTAGCATCGAAAAAGGTCCCTGAGCATTGAGAGAGTATGGGAAGTATGGCAGCATAAATGCACATTTACTGAGGACGGGCATGTGATACAGAGCGGGGAGTTGCCTGTACATATAAACTGTGACTTAATTTATTTTTCGTTGGCGCGCCGTTCATAGCTAGAGCGCGGCAAGTGGCGCATTACTAATATGTAGTAAGCGGTTTTTCTATGGGAACAGAGCTTTTACCTCAAACCACGGCTGTTAGTAGTCATTAGACCCTTCTATCCGTCGTTCGAGCCCACCACGGAAGCTCTCATTGGAGCCTTGTGCTCTTGGAACCTCGCAAACTACGCCGGCGCTGTTTGCTATGGTTCTAGATGAGAGGGCCAGATTGATGAGAGTTTGCGTGGTGCACTCGAATGAAAGGAGATTCAGTCCGCGTGGTGATTGGACAGCAGTTAAAAGTTGAAATCGGGCAATGCATTTGGGAGCATATTCGCACGTGATATACTAAGTGGATTAGGTGTTATGGTTCGGGGAAGCTCGACATTGCATGGACGCACTCAAATCTTCGAACGCAACACACTCTCCTGGTTGTCCTTATGGTACTCCTCTGTGTGAGTCCCTTCAGCGATGACCGCGGTCTAGGTGGCGGTTCTTCTCGGGGTAGCGGCAGAGTTGTTTTCAGAAGTATGAGGAAGCGCGTGGAAAAGATATGAGCATGAGATCCAGCAAAGAAACAATCATGTCGGCTCTCTCTGAACCAATGAGAGCTGGGGCGAACCAACTTCCACTCATGCCGGATGGAGGAAAAGTTCTATTTGGAGCTAAAAAAACCTATAAGGTTGATGCATCGTTATTGCGGATTTTTTCGCGGCTTCTTTCTCTCGATAAAATTAAAATTTTGAACTTGGGATTTCTGTAGAAATAATCTTCTCGCTTTCCTTAACAGAAATATGTCTTGAAAGTCGTCTTCCTATACACCACATTATGCTTTATTACTTCGAGAAATGCTGGAAGGCGGCACACTCATAACGTGATCTCACCGAACTTCTCCTCGATGGAACGGTTAGCCAAAGCCAAATAAGGGATGGAATTTGCTTCTACGGTCGTCCTCTTCACCAACAGAAACACCTATGGTTCATCACGTTGATCGCCCGTTGAAGAATTGGTTAACGAACAGAACTTTTGACGAAATGGATGGCTTGATGGCCGACGCCAAGGCGTGGATCGCCTCCAAGAATCGGAACTTCTTCGGCTGTGGAATCCGATGACTAGCAAATGGGAAGCAGTGCCTGACGTAGATGGTGGATACGTTTTGGAGCATTTATTTGAACATGTCTTTGCTAGATATCTCTTTCGTTTCTTCAAGTAAAATTTGCTGGAAAAAAATCCGCAGTAATTATGCATCAACCCAATGATATACTCCTTGTACAACCATTATAATGACGTCTGTAGAATTTCTTTTCTGAGTTATGATAAAGTATAGATACTGTATTCGAAAACCTTATTTCGCCAAGTACTTTGAATATGTTTCTTTGCGGCAGCAATTCTACTTGATCATGCCATGGCAATGACCCTGAAAAAATTGGATTGGGATGTTAGTTTTTCCGAATTTTCTTGTTCTTCACTCACAAACGCCTCCAGCATCTCCTGAGCGCAAATTTGTGCAGAATTTCAAGTGAAGCGGATTTGTCACATAATGAACATTGGAAAGACTTCCTCTGAGTTATTGCTAACTGACAACAGTTTTCAAACTATAAGCACATCACCCTACTGTTACGGTAGGTCGCATTCGGGTGGCCTATCGTATGACCGCCCGGGGTAGATCCA